GAGAACAACACGTTGTGGCACACCTGGCGGCCGTCCCCGGCGGGGCCGCGGTGCGCCAGACTTCCAGCCTGGGGCGCTGGGCCCTCATGCCGAGGCCAAGCCTCTGCTGCTCCCCGCGGGCGCAGGCGCCGTGGGCCGCACCCGCCGTTCCTCTTGCAGCCCGCGCTGGATGTGCGCCGGGCGCGGCCCTGGACGGGAGAGGCGCCCACTGCTCGGCACGGCCGATGGCCCACGGACCCTCCACACGAAACCCAACCCTGAGACCCCAGGGTGGGGACGTCGCGCCTTCCACAGCAGGACCATCGAAACCCGAGCAAGCCCGGGGCATCCAGGAGGCAAGCGGGGTGGTTCTTGGCATGTGCCTCCGCTGTACTGCTTGGCGCGGTCGATGGCCCACGAAGTGCCCGATGGGCCCTCGAAGTACGCCCCGTCGCCCTTTCCGAGCCTGTCGGGGAGCCGTGGGTCGCGCCCAGGAGATGCTCGACGGCACCTCCTGGAGGCACGGGTACAGGGTAACTGCGCAAGAGTGGCCTCTCCTTCTCCAATGTTCAACTGTGCCGCATTTAGCTGTATCAACGAAGCCGCTTCTTTGGGCGTCACCGTCTTCAGTGCTTGAATTGCATGGCGCAGGGCGGCTCGACTCTACCTGACAACGTAGGACGCTGCCTTCCTGATACAATTCGATCATCTGCTACGGGTGAACTTGTTGCATATCGTTCCCCCCGTATAGCTGTCAAGGCAAGGGCTTCTAGTGCCTTCTTCCTACTCGCTTCCTCCTCAGCACCTAGTGATGCCTGTAGCTTGTCTTAATCTGCGTGGCAGGCACGAATGTGTTCAGTAATTTTTGGCTAATGATGGGTTGGTAATGGACCTTGAGCTCGAGCTGCCTGAGCGCACAGCTCGCCCAGAGTTGGCTGCAATGGAAACGTGCGGGGCGCCTGACCAGCTCGAGACGCGACGACCTGAGCGAGGTGCTACGCGAGCGCCGCGTCGGTCCCACCCCAGCCCCTGTCAGCCACACGAGTTCAACTATCCTTAGGTCGGGCATGTCCACCTACAGGCGGAGTTTGGGCGAACATCAAAAACTACCCAAAGCATATTCAAACATAGTCAAAGCATAATCGAAACATCGTCACCAGACTTTTCCTCGACTAATTTTTGGGTATTCCCCGCAGGGGGGCAGGCCAGACTTCAAAACTATCCATCCCCGACGCCAGGGCAAGCGGCAGAGGCGGCGCGCCTCCTGGCGCTCCGTCCGAGCCCGCCCGTTGGGCAGGCTCCGCGGCGCGAGAGGCGCCCTCCGATGACACGGCGCCCTGTTGCGGAGTGGCCCGTGGCTGGGGGTGGCCAGAAAGCAAGGAAAATGCTAACGACAACGTACTGAGCACCTCCTCCTCCTCCTCCTCCGCCTCCTCCTCCGCCTCCGCCTCCTCCTCCTCCTCTTCCTCTTCATCCGCCTCCTCCTCCATTTCCTCCTCCTCCTCCTCCTCCTCCTCCTCCTCCTCCTCCTCCTCATGGTCAGCATCGTCATCACCACCATCCACGATATCTACCATGTCCACCAGATCCACCACCACCACCAGTACCATCCTCAGATTCGCAATCGTCCTCGTAATACGAATGATGCTGCTACTCATCGTCATCATGATCTTGACCATCACCGCCATCAGCAGCATCACCATCACCATCATCGTCATCACCATCATCGTCGTCATTATCATCAGCATCATGACCATCATGATCATCATCAGCGCCATCATTGCCATCATCAGCATCACCATGCCATCACCATCACCATCACCATCACCATCACCATCACCATCCTCATCATCATCGTCAGCATCATCATCATCAGCAGCATCATCATCGCCATACACATCATCACCATCATCACCATCGTAAGTATCATCATCACCATCATCATCATCATCATCATTATCATCATCATCGTAACCCATCCCTCATCATTACCATCATCATCCTCACCACCATCATCAACAGGCTCATAAACATCATCAACGGTGTCGTCGTCCTAAGCATCATAGTCATCATCACCATCAGCAGCAGCGCTTTCATGATGCCCATTATCATATTCATCGTCGGCGTGATCATCATGCGCGTTACCAATCATCAGCGACACCATCTTTATCAGCAACATCGCCACCATCATCACCATCATTGTCACCACCATTACCATGATCGTACTCATAGTCATCAGCTCCATCACCATCCTCATCATCATCACCACCATCATCATTGTAACTGTCATCATCGCCGCCGTCGTCGTCGTCATAACCATCACCATCAGCACCACTATCACAGGCAACATCGTACTCGTGCTCCTCGGACTCCACATCATCGTCGTCGTTGTCGGCACCATCATCACCATCATCACCACCCTCATTATCACACACACACACAACGACCGCATCACCAGAACCATCAGCATTTTCATCAGCATCGACATCGACATCACCACCATCATCAC